CATTCAGTCTTATCGAGGATACGGCAACTTCGCCGAGCTGGCGTACAACCACCTGAAGAGCCTATATCAAGCAACAGACAGTGTTAACCAAAGTCGTCTCATGGCATAGCTGACAACAGTGGAAATGAAACACGGCGAAAAGGGAATGGCATATATCAGCCGTTGTCGTGGACTGCGCGACAGACTCCTCCGATGCGGAGGAGCAATATCCGAAGAAGCCTTTCTAACAGTCATCATCGCCGGCCTCGGTCCTCATTGGCGCTCCACTCGAGCAATCATTCGAGCTCACAAGAAGATCTCCGAAGCAGCACTCTGCGCCGAAATTCACGCTGAACTACAGGATATGGATCTGCACGAGGAAAGACACAAGAAGAAAGCGCCAGCACCAGAATTCGCGTTCCACACTCAACGACGCTACAACAACAACAGCAAGCACACACTGCCCGAATCAGCAGCAGTCGACAACGCCGCAACGTCAACTTCGGCCCTCAAGCAGTCAAGTAGCTTCTACACAGCCGCATCCCACCAGTCAAGTGCAGTCTTCAACATCTTCAACGACAAAACCTGCACAAGGAACAAGAAACATCGTGAGCTGCATGATAAGAACAACAGACTCCTGCATCACCGGATCACCACCCCACTACTCACCAGAAGAACAGCTCGATGAGAGAACTCCTCGCCGCGAATCACTGGAGCCAAACCGACGTATGCAGCCATCGCCCAGAGCGAGCCGTCCGGACAAGACACCTGGTTCTTGAACAATTTCTGCGGACAGCACATGTGTTCCTCGGGTCGCTTCGTTCAACAAGAACATCAACTTCAGCGCGAAGTTGTCATCATCGTGGCCAACAACCAGAACCTGCACACTCGACGACAAGGGATAGTACAACTTCAGTCTCGAGAAACAAACATCATCTTACAAATGTCCAAAGTTTGAATTGCAGAAGAACTCGGCTACAACTTACTCAGCGTCAGTCAACTGATGGCGAAGGGTATCCCATCTCGAAGCAGACAGCACCACTCAGGAGTTCAAATTATTCCACGGAAAAGGCGGACTTTACATTGGCAGAGCAGTCTTAAAAAACAACGTCTTCGTTCTTGACTTCGTCCCGGACCAAGGTACCGCCGAGAGCGACGCCATCGTCAACTTCACTTCTTTGACACATCCACCGGACCTCGATCCCGACTTCAGTCCTGGAGGATTCTGGTATTCACATACCATACCTGAAGCAGAAAGGACAAGGGCATTAGCAACAATCTGACAAGAAGTAACAACATCGACAACAGCAGAGACAACCTGAGCAACAGCAGCAACACCTACGGCACCAATCACGGGCTCTTCAACGGCACCAGTTCCCATCGACGACACTCCACCGACTCCTGCGCAGCAGTTAACTCCCACTCCACGTGAAGTTCACAGAAGCGCCAACTTCACCGCGGGTTTTTACTCCAACTCCGACCTGTACAGGCGCTCACCAGGACATCGTGCGAGCGAATCACTGTGGCATGAAAGACTGGGACATCCAAGCAACACAACGTTAAATAACACGATCAAGGCAGCAGTACTCGACAAAGATTCACTCCTTCTACCCGACGGCAGAGAACTCCAACGAGTTTGAGGCACATGCTTTACGTGCCCCGAAGCTGACTTACCTCATCAACCATTTGTCCCTCACCACAATCCAAGCGCGCCAGCCTACGCACCACTCGAGAAAGTATACAGCGACATCCTGTATACTCGCGAACAAGGACAAGGAGCATATAATTACGTGATTACTTTCATCGACGCCGCCACCCGTTACGTCTGGCATCTTAATCTCCCAAGTCGCGACATGGCCTTCGAAGCCTTCGTCGCCTGGCTACCTATGGCAGAACGAGAATCAGGAGCAAAGCTGAAAAGCTTCCAGTCAGACGGAGGAGGGGAATATCAGTCACAAAGGTTCCGGCAGTACCTCGCAGAACGAGGCATCAAGCGACTCATCTCGCTTCCCTACGCCCATCAACAGCAAGGCGTGGCAGAACGGATGAACAGAACTCTCCAGAACACCATGCGCAAACTGTTGCGTGGCATGCGACTGCCCAACCAGCAGTGGCCTGAGGCGATGGACCATGCTGTCATGCTGCACAACTTGCTCTCGTCATCATCGCTCCCGAACAACGCATCACCGCACCTGCTGTGGACAGGAAAATTGGGCAACACAAAAATGTTACGAGTTTTCGGGTGCATGGTACAGTACCGACCGCAAAGCTGGACGATTTTCTCAACGCGCACAGTGGGGACTACACCTGGGCATCGAAAAGCATTACAACGCATGGAAGATTTTCGACATCCACTCGAAGGAAACATTAGCAGGACGTGATGTTATCTTCTACGAGCGACTCACACTTCAAACGTACCTGGATAACCTGGCAGCAAATCGAGACCTCACAGGCGGCTTCCGTGGCAACCGAGCCTTCGCTTCAGCAGTAGACGAAGCTGACAGGGATGAGCAGAACGTGGACGTAGCTTCAGAAGAAGCCGGACCTCTCCCGTATTGCTCCGTGCCCATCCCGATGGATGACGAAAACCCTCGCGAAAGTGTCAACGCTGAAACCTACTTCGACTTCGCCGACACAGGTTACGTTACACCCCAACCGGTTGACACCAACGTCTCCGAACGCATAGGACCAAATTTCTTACCGGATCCAGAAGCAGGAGATGAAGCAGCTTGTCCCGAGGACGCAACTCTCCCCCGCTACACACAGAGTGGACTACAGATACTGGGACTCGTCACCGCTGTCCACGGAGTAGCACCGCCTAAGGAGCCTGCCAACATTCAGCAGGCTCTGGGGGGAGAACACAGGGAAAAATGGCGAGAAGCCATGGACAGAGAGTTAAAGGCGCTGCAAGAATGCAACACCTGGAAAATTGTGCCTATTGGAGTGGTACATAACAAGACCATTCTCACGGGAAAATAGGTTTTCCACGTGAAAACAAAAGCCGACAGAACAATCGACAAATTCAAAGCACGCTGGGTTGTGCGTGGCTTCGACCAAGAGCAAGGGCGAGACTTCACGGAAACTTTTGCACCAGTAAGCCGACATACCTCACTGCGGATTCTCCTCGCGATAGCAGCCATGAACCGGAAGAAGCTTCGGCAAATCGATGTCGCCAATGCCTTTCTCTACGCCCCCGTCGATGCTGAGATCTTTGTCGAACTCCCGCACGGGTCTAACGCAGACCCCAACCAAGTTTGTCAGTTGGAAAAATCTCTACACGGCATCAAACAAGCCCCGAGACTGTGGCAGCAGCATCTTCACGCCCGCTTAATCCGCATCGGATTCCTTCAACTACCGCACGACCAAGGGATGTACCGATTTACGAAGGGTACCGACTACATTCTACTCATCGTCTACGTCGACGACCTCCTCTACATAGGCTCCACCGACGCCATAACGACATGGTTTGAAGGGGAGCTGCAACGGGATCTTACACTCACCGTCGCGACTACCGTGACACAGTACCTAGGACTGAACATTCAAGACGGCGACAACGCAATCTACCTTAGCGCCGAAAAGTACACAGACACTATCGCTAAACGTTTCGGACTCACTCCAACTGTCATCTCCGCGCCATATCGCTACACCGACGGAGATCGAAAAGCCTCCGCTCTACTTAAACCTGCCGGCATCCGCGACTACCAACGAAAGTTAGGCTGCCTACTCTTCGCAGCCGTTACCTGCCCACCGGATCTATCCTACTCAGGTAGCCAACTCGCTACCTACCTCAAGAAGCCTGAAGCAGAGCACATGCTTGAACTCGACCGAGCACTTCACTACCTCGTCAGCACTCCGACGATCGGACTAACCTACCACAAGACCGGAACTACGACACCTAAGCTAATCGGTTACGTCGACGCCGATCACGCTGGAGACTCCAACAACAGACGATCTCGAACTGGCTACATCTACAGACTCGAACCTATCGGGCCTATCTCATGGCAGTCGAACAAACAAGAGCTAATCGCTCTCTCCTCAGCAGAAGCAGAATATATCGCACTTTGCTCAGCCACCAAGGAAGGGCTATATCTTCGCGAATGACTGGAGGAAGCAAAATTGGCTCAGTTACCCAGCTTCTCCCTCTTCTGCGACAACCAATCAGCCATTCGCATAGCGAACAAAAATGGGTTCGCGAATCGAACGAAGCACATCGCCCTCCGATACTTCTTCGTAAAAGACAAAATCGAGAAGGGAAGACTCGAGCTATCCTACTGTCCCACATCCGAGATGGCAGCTGATTACTTGACCAAGAAACTCGGAAAACAGAAGTTCGAGTACTGCATGCTGCTGACTGGACAAGGACACGTCATCAGCAGCGATACTCCAGAAGCGAAGGGGAGTGTTGGAAACAAGTAACTTAAACGCTTATGAAGTATCGAAGTGTCGACACGAAACGGAGCGGACTACAGCGAAGAAACACTTGAGTCAACAAAAGCAGCCGCTGGAGGTTACGCGAAGGTCAAAGGTCGCTGACCTTTGACTTGACGAAAAGTACAGTGCGACAGCAAGGACACATAACTGACTCGTTACTGAGCAGTTACCCGAGTCGGCACTGTATCGAACCGCAACAGCAAAAACAGTTAAAGTATAACTTTTCATATTCCTTGTAACCATATAAAAGCTTGTATCTCTTTGCTATTATCAACTTATCTTGTTCTCACACACTAGTACAAGGTGGTTCAGCAACTCTGATATTAAAACGCTTCCGCAATTACAACATTCCTACTTCAACCCCGATCTTAGCCTTGAAAGATCCTAAGGGTTTTTTCTCAGCCCAACAGCTATATCTTGTACGTGTGCTATAGTGAAACCCCCTTCTTTCTTGGCCAACTCCCTCTCTCTTCCTAAAACCTAAGTTTCTCCTAAGCCTTCTTTCTTGACAAATACTACGTGAGAGACAGTGCATACATATTCACACAAGCATTTATAAGCAAGTGGCTCCAAGAAACCCATTTTGCATGTCATCCTAAACTCCTTGTGGCAGCAGCAATCGCCTTGGACTGTGCAGATATGATGCTCACTGTCTTGGCATGTGCGGGGTCCGATGCGAAGACTGCAATGCCATCATCCCACGAGCGGAGATCGTCAGCCATGATCTGCCAAAACATGGTGGCTGGTGCAGGGAGAGGGGAGATGGAGGGAGAAGGCAGGTGAGGAGGGAAAGATAAATGCTCAGGCGCCTTACTGCCATGCCACCGCCCCTTCCCGTCATCCCACGAGCACAGGTCGTCAGCCAGGATCTGCCAGAACATGGTGGCTGGTGCCGCGAGAGAGTGAGAGGAAAGGGGAGAACGGGAGAAAGGTGAGGAGAAAAAGGTAGATACTAGTCAGGTGTCTTACTGCCATGCCACCGCCCCTTGCCATTCCCATGAGCGGAGGTGACTTTTGAGTCGCCTCAAAAGTTGCCATGATCTGCCAGTGGGTGGCGCCGCGAGACAGGGGGAGGGGGGAGGGGATGGAATAGGAGAGGAGAGAAAGTTAAATACTCAGGCGGCACCTCATACACGTGCCAGAAACAATGCACACACGTCCCAGCAGTCGATCCCTTCTTCGATCCCCTCTTCTTAAACGACTCCAGCACAATCTGGTATAGCGCACTGTACACCTTGTTGAGAGGCGCCTCATGCTCGCACACACCCACGGAGGCACATACAGGCACGCAGGACCACACACACACACACACACACACACACACACACACATGCACACAGAGGCGCACACATGCAGGCAGCATCAAACACACGTACCGCCAGCTGAGCCTCCCTTTTTAACCGAATCCAGCACCATCTGGTACAGCGTGCTGTACACCTCGTTGCGCCGCGCCATGCTGCCATCCGGAAGCTTCTTGATGCTCTCGGGGCCAAACTCGCCAATGAGCACGGGCATGTTGAGCACCCCATCCCCATCCTCCAAGTGCCCCTTCACAAAGTTCTTGAAGTATGCCAACTTGTCACTCCATGCTGACACAGAGTACCTGAAGGGGAGAAGGAGGCCAGGGGGGAGGAGGAGGCCGGGGGGGAGGAGGGAGGGAGAGAGGGGGGAGGAAGAGGGAAGGAGTTGAGCCAAGCAGCTCATCTGTGTGTTGCTCTCGGGGCCAAACTCGCCGATGAGCACGGGCATGTTGAGCACCCTGTCTCCGTCCTCCAAGTGCCCCTTCACAAAGTTTGTGAAGTATGCCAGCTTGTCACTCCATGCCGAGACAGAGTACCTGAAAGGAAGGAGGGCGGGGGAAGGAGGGAGGGAGAGAGGAGGGAGGAAGGGAGAAGGATTTGGAACAAGCAGCTCATCTGCGTGTTGCTCTCGGGGTCAAACTCGCCAATGAGCACGGGCATCTTGAGCACCCCGTCCCCATCCTCCAAGTGCCCCTTCACGGAGTTCTTGTAATGTGAGAGCTTTTCGCTCCATGCCGAGACAGAGTATCTGAAAGGGAGGTTGGTGGGCGAAGAGGCCAGGAGGAGAAAGAGAAAAGGCGCTCAGAAAAGAAGCTCGTTTGCATACTGCTCCTACGGGGAACGTCACACACAGCGGCATCAAAACACTGTTGCACAAAAACGTCTCTCCCCTCCACACCAAACCTCAGCATCAAGCCAACCCAGGGCTCTGTTTATTTCTGAGGAGAGGAGACTCGAAAACAGACCCCTCGACACATACACGTCGAGCATGATTCCCTCTCTGCACCCTCCTTCGCAGCGCACATCACCCCCCCCCCCCCCCCTCACCTGCTGTTTACATGGATCGGGGGCTCGGAAACCTTGTTGTTCCTGAAAAGCCGGTTCCAACATTCATCGCTCTTTCCATCCGCCCCACACCTCCCAACCCCCTCTCTCACCTGCTGTTTGCATACGCATGCACTGATGCAATGCCAATCCCCGGGACCTTGTTGTTCCTGACAAAGTCCGTCCCTACGTTCACCATCCACCACTCCGCGTTGAGCGCCTTGGCTCGATTCCCCCCAGTCCCACCACACATAACTCCCTCTCACCTGTAGTTCGCATAAGCATGCACTGAAGCAATGTCAATCCCCGGGACCTTGTTGTTCCGCACAAAGTCCGTCCCCACGTTCATCATGTACCACTCCGCGTTGAGCGCCTTGGCTCGCTCCGGTGTGGAGGGGCCGTAGAAGCCCTCTGAGCCGATGGAGAGCAGGTGGTTGGGGTCCAGCGACTTGACGTACGCTGCCATGTCCGTGATCCACGCCTGGGGTTACAGGAGCGCGAGCAAGGAGTGGGCAGGACGGAAAAAACAAAAGGGTAAGGCCTCGGATTGAGTCCCTTGCCTCGCTCTGGCGATCCGGTGTGGAGGGGCCGTAGAAGCCCTCTGAGCCGATGGAGAGCAGGTGCTTGGGGTCCAGCGACTTGGCGTATGCCGCCGTGTCCGTGATCCACGCCTGGGGAAATAAAAAACGCACAAATAGGAGGAAATCCGAGAGAACAGAAAGATTGAGGGTGAAAACAATCTTTGACTCGATTCAAAAATGAATTTCGACAGCACAGAGGGCTTGGTGTGCTGGAATTTGGATTTTGGTGGGGCTTTGACTCATGCTACTACGAAAAAAAAAAAGCCTGAAACTCGAATGCACTCGCATTCTAGATCATCAAAATTTATTCAACCCCACTCTCTCTTCCCTCCCTACTCTCTCTTTCCCACTCGCTGATCCCCACTCTCTCGTTCCCACTCGCTGTTCCCCACTCTCTCTTTCCCACTCGCTGTTCCCCACTCTCTCTTTCCCACTCGCTGTTCCCCACTCTCTCTTTCCCACTCGCGTTCCCCACTCTTTGATCCCCACTCCCCACTCGTTATTCCCCACTCATCTCTTGTTACCTGCAAGACGTCCCCTAAGGGATCCGCGTAGACCCGGGGCTCGTTCATGAGCTCCCAGCCGAAGATGGTGGGATCTTCGCGGTACAGCTGGCCCGTGAGCGTGTTGCGCCTCATGATTACAGCCTGGCGCAGGGAGAATCGATGGGGATTTGAGGGGGGGAAGGGAGGGAGGTTGGGGGGGGGGAGGAGGGGGGAGGTGATCAGCTTGTGAGGGTTTGATGCGGTATAGCAGGCCTGTGAATGTGTTGTGGTCCAAGAGTACAGCCTGGCGCAAGCAGGGAGGGAGACATCAGCCCTGCTGCACCACACATCACTCTACTGCATCGCACCGCACCGCACCATACCACACTGCACTGCACACAGACAGGACCAGCACGCCAATGCACCTTGAGAATTTTTTTGTACAACAAAGCAGAAGAGGGTCGACAAAGAATGCCGTGTCATCGCCGGGAGGAGTCCCCCCAGAAGCAGCGCTCTTTGAGGCGCCTCAAAACTCACAAGCAGCACCATCACACCAGCGTCGCACCTTGATAAAGTTTTTGTAGAACGTTCGGCAGAGAGGGTCGACAAAGAAAGCTGTGTCGTCAGCAGGAAGGGTGCCCCCAGCAGCAGCGCTCCACTTGACGTACTGGTTCTTGCCTCCATAGTCGTCCCAGTTACCATTCAGCACCATGTGCAACCGCACTCCAAACCTCTTGGCCGTGAAAAGCACATAGTCTAGAGCCTGGGGAGAGCAGGGGAGGGCAAGAGAGAGAACAGGCGATGGGAAGGAGAGAGCAACTCAAGAGAGGGTCGACTAAGAGAGAAGTCCATGTGGTGTCGTCGTGAGGTGGCCTGCCCCCCCCCAGAGTCACACACTCCTGGTGACCAGAGTCACACACTCCTGGTGACCAGAGTCACACACCCCTTCAAATCCCACCAACTACGAGCAACGCCCCCACCAGAGGTGAGTCACACCCACCCCAAGTCACACCCACCCCGAGTCACACCCACCCCGAGTCACACCCACCCCGAGTCACACCCACCCTGAGTCACACCCACCCCAAGTCACACTCACCCTGAGTCACACCCACCCCGAGTCACACCCACCCACCCCCGAGTCACACCCACCTTGAATGTGTTTTCGTCAAACACCCCGGGTCTGGTCTGCAGAGCATGCCAGCCAGGGCCGTCATAGAACGCCCCCGTGCGACACACTGTGAGGCCCATGCTGCGCCCCTGGGTCAACGCCTGGTTCACCTGGTGGGGCACGGGAGAAAAGCAACAAGGATTGGAGGTTGGCATAAGAAACAAGGCACAACACACGAGAGGCACACTGTGAGGTCCATGCTGCGCCCCTGGGTCAACGCCTGGTTCACCTGGTGGGGCGAGAGAGAAGGCGAGGGGTGGCAGAACGGAAGGGGAGATGAGGACGGGTGAACAGGTGGAGAGAGATGGTAGGGGGACGTGGGGATCAGAAGAAGCGTGGAATGGTAGGTAGAGTGGCCTTTGCAACGCACCAGATACTTCTTCTCAGGAATGCTCGCAATGTACATGAGCCAGTACGTGTTCCACCCGTTCACGTAGAACGGCTTGCCCCGCAGCCACAGCTGCCGCCCCACCCGCCGCACGAACCCATCGCTAGGAGCGGCAGCCTCCACCCTATACACGGGCTTCGCCTTCCCCTTGTCCGCATTCACCTGTGTGCACGCAGCGTCGCCCCTGGAGAAAAGACACCTCAGGGACGACAGCAGGCCCTGGGGGGTGAGCTGGAGGAGCCCGGCCTGGGCAGGGGGCGAGCCAGAGGCACTGCCAGAGGCAGACGCTAAGGCAGAGGCCGAGGCAGAGACAGAGGAGGTAGAAATATCGCCAGCTGCTGCTGCCTCCTCTGCTGCCGATTCTTCGGCTGCTTCTGAAGCTGGGGCCATTTCCTCGTCCTTTGGTGGAAGAGGTGCGGGTGCGTCTGCTGCTGATGCCTCTTCTGCGCCTTCTGCTGCTGAAACGTCTGCGCCTGCTGCGGGTTCCTCTCCGCCTGACGCTGAGAGATCTCCGCCTTCTGCCCTTGCATAGCCGCTCTGATGGAGAATGAAGCTCGGAAGCGGCTCCTCCCTCTTGTACGGTCCATCACCAGGCACGGGAAACTCACCAGCCACAGGGGCAATTGCCCCAGAGGAATCAGCAGCAGCATCACCAAACGAAGCATCTGCACCAGCAGCAGGAGTGACAGAGACAGCAGCACCACCGCCAGCAGCAGCACGCCATTCGTCCCGCATAATACCCGAGGAATGGCTGTGTTTGCCCATGGACCCGGGGAGGCGCACTGCAGCAACGCGAGCAGGACTGCACAGAGCGAGAGCGACAGTCACTGAGAGCAGCAGAGGTGATAAATACACGAAGGAGTCCCTCCTCCCGCGGTGAGGGAAACGGCGCTCATAAATAGAAAAACGGCTCGCAGCCTTCTCTTTCTTGAAACTCCTCAGGCGAGAGTTCCCAGACGCCATTTTTCAAGGTTTAGGTACCAGCACCCTCAGGAGCTAGGGGGGAATAAAGGCCTCCAAGAGGCCTTCAGATTTTCTAAGGTACTGCTGTCAAGAGGATCTCGCGGAGGAACGAGGTTGCTCGTGGGAAACAGGAGCCTGGGACGGGATTGCAACGGGATGACTGAACAGGCTGCGACGGCCCTTCATTCGATCATTAAACGGCTTGCGTGAGCTGGCAGCGCAGAGCGTGTAGGTGGTACTAGGGCCGACATCCTTCTTGCGGTTGTTGGGTTGGTAGGATCGCAGGAGGCGGCTGAGGAAGCACGAGGTGGTTGAGGGGGAAGCGGCCAAGGACGAGGAGAACCAAGAGGGCCAAAATCGAGGGCTAAGAGGGTAAAGATCGAGGGCCAAGATGGGAATGGAGGAGGGAGGTAGTTACGCCTCGGCTCGACTACACCACCACGTCTTGCGAGGCGAAATCACGGCGCCGCGAGCGTTGGATCAAGAGTTATTGAAGGTGGGACTTCGACTGCCCAAGGTCGAGTCCCAGGAACGAGGAACGAAGAGAAACGAGAGGCGTCTCGTTTGCACGTTTGGGACTCGCGTTTGCGTCAAGCTCTTGCATTCCGAAAGTATTTCGTTGGACAAGACATTGTCTTGCAACGCACCCTCAGCCCGCGGAGCTCGTATGGAATCGGTGCTACCTGCTCAATCCATCGCCACTTTTCCAAGCCGGTTTGGCTTGGCTCGAATGCCTTACGACGGATAACGATAAGTCGGAGAAACAGGCCATCACATTTCCGTTCGCGGTCAAATCACGCCGCTCGCAACGGCTAAGATCGCGACAAGCACCTCTCACCGACACCGAAAGCCCCCTCGACCGCTTCTGCCGAACCACAGACGAATACCGAGATAGACGACTCCTATCCTGTATCGTAGTATATGGTTACCACTGTAAAACTGCCTTCCCTTTTCGCGACGCAGGTTTTGAGGCTCATCGTCGATTCGGCCAGATGGACAAATGCTAGCCAATCAGCTACAAGCTTGAGGGTCTTTCTCGGAAGCCTACCTGAGGATGATTCGATCCGGAAATTCCTGACGGTGGACTCGCTACGACGCTCGAAACGGGACTTCAACGCTCCGCAACAAACAAGCCAATAGGAGCGGCGGACCTAGCCTGGTTCAGACACCAAGTCTAGCGAGGCGAGAACTGCGGAGAAGCAGTCGAGGTGCGGGACGAGCGTGCGAATCTTAGAATACTTGAACGAGCAGGCGAAACAGATACTCGTAAGCGACATGCGAGCCATGTCGGTAAGGAAAACCGCCTCGACGTGAATCCCGAAGTGAGCCTTGGGAACTCAATCCCAAGACCTGAATCCTGAGGTAAGACTAGGCAGGAGATGAGGTGATATGGTCGGGTGAGCGACCCAGTCTGGCTCGGAGAAGCGTAAAAGCAGGAGAGGCGTGGATGGGGAGGTATGGAAAAAGGCAATGACAAGAATGCGAATGGAGGTGAGGTGATGGTTGAAGAAGGCATATGTTTGGACCATCGGGATTGTCAGGGACGGAGCAAATCCCCTTGTCCCTGATATTGGTACATCAGTTTCTTGGTATAGCCATCTACAAAGACATACAGCCTGAGCTCGGTACGCTATAAAAATATAACATGAGCTAGAGCCAGAGCTGTCATGCTATACATGGGCCCGTTTTAAGGATCAGTCAGAAATACGCTCGACAGTTATCTACATATATGACAACTCCAAGACCATGGCAGCTTTTTCTAGTAGAACAATACTCGTGAATAATTTGTTGGAGCGCTTTCTCTCAATAAGCATCATGCACACCATTGTTAATCAAGCAAAACCCGCATTTCCTAACAAAGTTTATGGGTGCGTGCGATTCGCACCCGTCACAATAAGAATCAAAACAAACATTAACGTAACATTCAGTAAGAGCTCAGCCGCTGCACGAGCGAGTGCAGTAATGAACCCCTAAATTAGCACCCAACCAAGTGTCAGCATCAGCTATTGAACTCCGGGTCAGACTTCCAGACTTCATAAAACACGCCCACCCATATGTCAGGAAGCCCCGGCAGGCACGGGTGCAGAAAGTCCATGCTCTCAGGGGCCTGCGATGCGACGCTTGCATGGCATCGCTCTGGTAGAGCGAGAGCAAGCGTCAGCATCAACTGTTGAACTCCGGGTCAGCCTTCCAGACTTCATAAAACAAATCGACCCAGATGTCAGGGAGCCCGGGCAGGCACGGGTGCAGGCAATCCTTGCTGTCAGGTGACTGCGACGCCAGCATGGCATCACTTCTGTACAGCGACGGGTGTGTGATGTCCACAAAGCGAATGTTCTTGCTGGGACTCAGAATGTCCCGCTGCGCAGGGAACCACTTGCGGCTCTGAGGGTTCCCCCGCACCATGTGCTCGTACTGCTCAGAGATGCCAAGGCATGGGGAAGGGGGGGAATGAAAGTTCTTATGAGTCAGCTCAAGAAACGCCTGAGAGGGTTCCCCTACACCATGTGCTCGTACTACATCGTGCAAAGGCACGGGAAGGGAACCAAGGAGGTGCATGGTTGTGTGTGTGGGGTTGTGAAACTGCAGCAGTTGCAGTGATGTGAATATGTGAGGTGCAAGTGCCAGTGAGTATGAATTAGAGCACAATCAACTCACCGTGGACCTGTTGGCAGGGGTGTAGGAGCCCTGGCAGTTAACGGGGCTTGTTGCAGCAAAGAGCACGTGCTGTGTGTCACACACACACACACATGCTCTGCATTTGCACAGCATACCCAACTCACCGTGGATCTGTTGGCAGGGGCGTAGGAGCCCTGGCAGTTAACGAGGCGGGGAGGAGCGGAAAGGAAGTAGGGCACAGGCAGGTCCCAGCGCTTGCTGTTGCCGGCGTTGAACGACTTGGCCAGCTTGTTCAGTGCTTGCCTGGGGGGAGAGGAAGAGAGAGAACAGGCAGGCGTGAGACAAAGAGAAGCCTCCCATTGCACAGGATGTGAGCGATCGCTTACTCACACACACTTGCTTGCAGCCACCCCAACACAGCCACTCCCTTGCACGCCCTTACAGCGCCGGGCTCAAGGTCGGGTGTGCACCACATGTGGCCATGAAGACTACCCGAGGCAAGTCTCATTGGGCAGGCAATACACATTGATAAATACATATAGATGTATATATATACATATACATATATATATGAACCATCCAGATGAAAGCGCTCACTTGCATGCTCACATAGTTTTTGCACATGTGAAAATCCAGTGTGAACACCCGAGAGCAAGCTCAACCTTTCAAGACGCCTCAAAGAGTCGCCGGAGAGTATCCCCATCGCCACTTCTCCATCTTGCATAATCACCCTTCCTTAACTCACACAGGCGCTCAACCACATGCACTCACTTGTATGCGATCACGGTCTCGGGCTTGGGTCGAATCTCACCGCTCAGTTTGTCCCCTTGGCACTCACTTGGCTACACACTCACTAACCCAACACTCCCCTTTACAGGCACTAGCCAACGAGCACTCACTTGTATGCGGTCATGGTGTCAGGTTCAGGGTCGAGGCGGTGCCACTTGCGGTCCACAAAGAAGCGCCTCAGCCACCTCTCAGCGTGCGGCCAGTGCGTGGCGGACTGGAAGACGATGAGGTCCATAGTCTGCACCTGGTCGAACCACTGCGGGTCAAACGCGCCCAGGTTCACTGCTGTGTCTCCCAGACCTGGGTCCTGCACCCTTAGCTTGCGAATGACCTGATGCGAGGGTAGAAGGGAGGTAACAAGGGAGGGAAGATGCAGGGAAGAAGGGAGAAACACGGCAGAAAACACAGAAGGGAAGACGGGAGGCAAGAAGGGAGGGGTGGGGGGGGTGAGTGGCGGACTGGAAGACGATGAGGTCCATAGTCTGCACCTGGTCGAACCACTGCGGGTCAAACGCGCCCAGGTTCACTGCTGTGTCTCCCAGACCTGGGTCCTGCACCCTTAGCTTGCGGATGACATGATGAGAGATAACAGGGACGATGGGAAGAGGGAGAGGAAGCAGCGTGGGGAGGGAGAGGGGCAGTGGAAGGAGGGAATCTTCTGAGGCCCGTGGCTTCCTCGCACCCAGTTGGATGAATGCGAGTCAAATTGTAGACCAAGTTAGGCCGCACAAGTCAGGGTTTCCGGCCAACCAGAGGAAATGACCACACTGGTCGCATGTGTGCATGCATCGCGTGCATGCCAAGAGCACCCACCCCGGGGTTGGCACTTGTCCACATGTGAAGGGGCTCCAGTAGTTGGCAACGGTCACGTCACGTTGTGCTACCCCATGCAAGCGCACAAGCTTGAATCACATGCCAAGAGCAACCACCACACGGTATGGCCACGCACCACGGGGTTGGCAGACGTCCACATGAGGAAGGGGCTCCAGTAGTTGGCGACCGTCATGTTGTGCGAGTCCAGGCGCCACACGAAGCTGCCCAGCGCACTGCCCTCCACTCGGCTCACCGTGCCCACCTGCGCCAACTGGGAGGTGTCAAAGGGGGGTGCATGGGGAGACGAGAATGAATGCTGTGTTGTTTGGAGGCCCCCGGGACACAAAGCTGCCCAGCGCACTGCCCTCCACGCGGCTCACTGTGCCCACCTGCGCCAACTGGGATAGGTGAGAAGGGGTGGCGCATGGGGAGACGAGAGGTAGGTGGGAAGGTGTGGTGCATGGGGAGAGGAGAGCACAGGGGTAGAGCGGGTGCACGCAGACAGGGTTGCGTGGGGAAACAGGCGTGTACGGAGGGGGGGGGACGAACGAGGAGAATGAGCATGGTGTGCTTGAAGGGCCCCAGGTCTTAACCAATCTCACATTCTGCGGCCACTTGGCAGAGCAGCAAGCCTACCTGGCGAAGCAGCGAGCCTACCTGGCGTGTATTAAACAGTTTCGAGAATTCTCTAAGCCTACCTGGCAAAGCAGCGAGGGCAGGAAGCCGTCTGTAATCAAAGAGTCGCCAACCAGAGCTATCACCCTGTCAGGCACAAGGAAGGCACCGTGGGAGGCGATTTGGGGGTGGTGAATGGTGGAGAGTGGTGAAGAGAGGCCAAGGCATGATGTTGTTGGTAATCAAAGAGTCGCCAACCAGAGCTATCCCCTGTCCGGCACAAGGAAGGCGCAGTGGGGAGAGATGTAGGGGGCGGACGGGAGTGGTGAACGATGGAGAGTGGTGAGCAAGGGCCAAGCTGTTACACCATCGGTGACACGTTGCTCACCGGAGCAACCACCCTGTCAGGCACAAGGAAGGATCAGACCAGGGAGGGAAATCGAGGGTGGAAATGGGTGGTGGATGTGGGGGAAATGAGCGATGAGAGAGGAGAGAGGAGAAAAGAGAGAGCAAAGAGAAGGTGGGGGAAAGCTCTGCTGGGGAGGGGTTCCTCTGATATTTTCCAGGGCGAGATTTTCCAGGGAGGGGATCTTTTACTGTTTTGCCCTGGAAAACAGTAAAAGAAAACTATAACGATCGCTTTTCCAAAGGGGAGCAGCGTAGCTGGGGAGTTCAGGAAATGGAAAGGGAGCGAAGGGGGGGGGAATCGGCAGGGGGAACAGCATGGGTTGGAGGTAGCACCACAAGTCGGACAATGCCCTTCCTGCCCTCGCCACACTCCCTGCTCTCCCTGCCCTCGCTGCCCTCCCTGCGACTCACTTGTTTTGCATCTTCTGGGCGAATTCGGCTGCTTGGAAGCGAAGGATGTTGCCGCCACACTGCTTTGGCTTCCACGAGTAGCGCTGCAGCGAGGAGTAGAGAGGGGCAGAGAGGGGTAGAGAGGAGCAGAGAGGGGCAGATAGGGGCAGGAAAAAAAACAGGCAATACGAGATGGTGGACTCATGGGAAGACGCATGTAGCACATGTGATGTGGATGGGTTTAGCTTGCAGGGCTCTCAGCTTGCAGGGCTCTCAGCTTGCAGGGCTCTCAGTGGCTTGACTGCTTGAAACGAAGTGACATGCCATACGTTTCGCCACTCTCTCCGCCCTCTCATGTCCCTCATCTCCCCCATCGCCCTCATCTCCCTCATCTCCCTCGCATCATGAAGGCTCAGCAAGAACTCACCATGTATGAATTGTCCAGCCGGCCATACTTCTGTCGAAGTGACTTTTGAGACTCGAAAGGACCCACCATCCATGAATCGTCCTGCCGTCTGTACTTCTGTTTCAAGTGACTTTTGCATTGACTCAGGACTCACCATCCATGACTGGTCCTGCCGGCCGTACTTCTGTCTGAGGCAGTTGGTTGTGGGCGACACGGACTGCCATGGTGCGAAAGAGAGGGGAAGAGGGCGCAGGAAGGGGGCGGAAAGGCTAGGAGGACGCTCAGAAAGCATATGAGGGAGCATCAGGATTGCTGGTGATAAGGTGGATAGGCCCTTCGGGAACACAGCATGGTGGAGAGACGTTGATGTGCATGTACCTGATTGATTAGCCCTCAATCTCAGATTATGTACCTGTACTTTTTTATCATAGATTAGTGTAGTTTGTAGTTTGTGTTGGTTAGGTGTAAACCCAGATATATTGGAGTGACTTTTGAGAATTCTCAAAAGTGTTGGTTAGGTGTAAACCCAGATATATTGGAGTGACTTTTGAGAATTCTCAAAAGTGTTGGTTAGGTGTAAACCCAGATCCCAACCTCACCCAAATGTGATCACCCGATTCCCTCCCTATCCATCCCTTGCCCATTTCAAATGTACTTAAGAGCCTTGAGCTCATTACCTAATGGATCACTTCAAGCTCAAGAGGAGAGGAGTGAAGGGGGGAGAGAAAGAGAGGGAGGGGAGAAGAGGCAAGAGGAGAAGAGTGAAGGGGGGAGTGAGACGGAAGAGGACCTGTGTGGGAAGGAAAGGGGAGAAGTGCAGAGTACGAGAGGGGGCACGAGATAGTAGGAAGTCGAGAGAGGAGGGGTCCACCCAACACTCACATGATGAATGCAACGTGAGCCAATGAGTTTCCACAACCATTCCCCTATCCCGCTACTGTGCAGAGAAATGCAGAAAAGCCTCATGCTGACGAAGGAAAAACCACCGCTATCACCACGACCACAATCACCACCGTCACTATCACCACGGCTATTATCACCACCGCCAGTATCACCACGTTACAATCACCCACCATTAGTATCACCACCGCTACAACCACCACCGTTATTAACCACCATCACCACCGCTACTATCACCACCGCTGTTCCCACCATGGCTCTTCATAGGCTTACGTTGATGAAGGGACAAGAATCTATGTTGGAAGCAGGGCGGTTGTCCTCGTCCCACACCCACTCGCCCTCGTATATGTTGCACACCACAGCTACTATCACCAGTACGATTGCACCGCCACCACTATTATCACCACGCCCAAGGTCATCACGGCGGTTCTGATACTTACATTGATGAAGGGACAAGATTCCGTGTTGTACGCAGGGCGGTTGTCCTCGTCCCACACCCACTCGCCCTCGTATATGTTGCACGTGGTCGAATCCATTGCTTCGTCCCCGCCCATCGTGGCACCATACGATGGGTTGCTCGTTAGAGGACCGTCTTGATCGCTGCTGTCACCACCGCTACTGTCACCTCCGCTACTGTCACTGCTGCTAGGGTCACCTCCCTCGTTCGACACAAAGGAGACGGAACCGTCAACAACTGAAGAAGCACCTGAGGCGTCAGCAGCAGCACCTGAAGGAGCACCTGAGGCGTCGGTAGCACCTGAGGCGTCAGCACCTGAAGAAGCAGCCGCATCTGTGGCAGCTGCAATGTCAGCAGTGTTATCTGCAGTAGCAGCATTAGGGTCAGTACCAGCCCCCCATGCAGGATCCACAGCAGCACCTGAATCGGTATAGGTATTAGTATCAGCAGCAGGAGCATCAGTGGGTGCGGGGTCGGCAGGTGCAGAGCCTGGGTCAGTGTAAGTGTCAGCAGGAGGGGGAGGGCTGGGCGGGGGTGGGCTCGGGGGAGGTGGGGACGGTGTCTGGTAATCAGTAGGCTGGTAGTCCGATGTTGACTGGCTATCACTAGCTGTCTGGTCACCGGTGCTTGTTGTTTCACCTGAGGTTTCTCCTGAGCTGTCACCTGAGGAACCCCAGGGCCACCAGCTACCAGAAGACGAGGTGTCTCCTGTTGATTCAGAAGGCGGCGGGGGAGAAGGAACGGACCAATCAGGAGGCGGCGGAGAGGGGCTGCTAGGTGCCTGCCAGTCATTGTTGGATACCCAATCAGAGTTGGATGCCCCAGCATCAGTGGACGAATCAGAAGGGGGAGGAGGAGAAGGCGTGGTGGTGGCGGACCAATCAGGCGACGGCGAGGAGTAGTCTGAGGAGGAAGAGGGGTCAGATGGTGCTGACCAATCCGATGACGTGTCAGCTGGCGCTGTCCACTGAGACGATGTGTCAGGAGAGCTCGACCAATCAGAAGAGGACGTCGAGTCAGGGGTGGGCGAGGACCAATCAGTAGTCGAGGAAGAATCAGGGGAAGAGCTCCAGGAGTCCTGAAGCTGCCTTCGACTGGCGTCTGTGTGCATGGAGGGCGGCAGAGAGAAAGAAAGGGTGAAAGACACTGAGGTAAGATGGAGGCAGGCGGGGAAAACAGAGATCACAGAGCAACGACGCAAGAAGAGTAGGGGTCGTGAGGAGTGGGAAACAGGAGGAAGTAGAATGCACGGAATCACCGAAGCAGGGTGGTAGAGGAACAGAGAGAATCCATCCGCCACGCCACCCTCTCCGCTACTCTCACCCAAAGCTGTCCTTCTGGTTGATTCCGCAGCAGCAGCACCCACCAAGCGAAATCCCACTTGCTCTTGCTGTGGAGAGTCCCAGGCATACCCCCATCCCATACCTTGAGCACCGGTAAGGCTTGTGATGGTCCCCTGAGGCGGGGGCAGCAGCAGGAAGGCGCGTGTGCGCCTCACGCCCTGGGCTGCCACGAAGCGGGCGAGGGGCGGGGCGGGCGACGGGGCACGCAGTGCATGCGCGAAGCTCAGCGCGAAGAGCTCCGCGAGCTGGGGGGAAAGGGGGAGGCGGGGAGGGAGGGGGGAAGAGAAAAGAGGGGGTGAGAATGGATTGAGGAAGGAGAGAAGAATGAGGGGCACGAGGAAGAAGAGGGTGAGGCGGAGGCGGGGGGGCAGCAGGGCGTGAGCGAAGCTCAGAGCGAACAGCTAAGCCAGCTGGGGGGGAGAGGGGGATGAGGGGGAGTGAGGGGCACAAGGCAAAAGAGGGGTGAGGAGGGCAAGGGGGCAAGAGGCTGTTGGGCGAAGCTCAGAGCGAGTTACTGGCCAGCTGGCGGGGATGGTGGGGGACGACTGGGGAAGAAGGAGGGGGAGCAACAGTAGTAACTTATTAAGCACGCGTTAAGCTGTCACGATTCCAGGCTGGGACGAGGGGAGGGGATGGAGACGGGGGGACAGGGAGGAGAGAAGAGGAAGAGGAGGAGGAGGCGGATACAAGTGGCAAGCGAGCATCCCACCACTACCTCTTTCACCCCTCACACTCAATCAATTCTCTACCTCCGAGCCACCTCGCTGATTTGCTCTCAACACTCCAACCGAGCACCTCAATACCTCCTCAATACCTCCTCAATACCAACTCAATGACCAATTCAACACCCTCCTTCCCACCAGCACGCACCTCCAAGCGAGTGCATTCCAGCCGCTCATCCACCGTCGCCCCTCCACTACCCTCTCGCGCATCCCCATCCACACTCCCCAGCAGCGCCCCATCAACCTCCGGCCCCCCATGCTCATCCTCACTCCCCATAGCACCCACCCGCCCGCCCGCCAAAGACCCATTCCCCGCGCGCCCTCCTCCCCCGCCCCTCGTATTCCCGCGGCAGCGGGAAGCGCGGGCCTCAGTGGCTCTCAGGGGGAACGGCGCGTCGTACCCGCTCTCCCCCTCCGCCGCCTCCGCCGTTTCCGTCCCCTCGTTCTCCCCGTCCCGCCCCTCGTGGCCCAAGTCAGGGCGGGAGGGAGTGATGAGGTAGGGGCTGCTGGGTTGACTCATGCCGCACGTGCCCGCTGCTGCCCCCGGCTGCTGCACGCACCCGGAAGCACTGTAATCGAGGCCGTTCTATAAGGAGGATGGACGATTCAGGGGATGGAGAAATGGGGGGATGGAAATTTGGGAGACGGGGAAACGGGGAACGCTGTGAGTGCACGGCGAGTGGACTGTCGTGGGAGGAGCAGTGCGGATGGTGATATGGGAGAGCGCAAGCTGGGAAAGAGGGGAATTGGCAGGAAATAAGAAAAAACTGAAAGAACAGTGGTGCGGCGCCGACGTGCATACCTCAGGGAGCACGGCGTGCGACGCACGGATGCGACTCAGGTTCTCGCGCTCGACCGTCACGGCGACGGCTGGCGACGGGTGCAGCGACGCCAGGCACGCCTGCACGGCCTGCTCGTACTCGCACGCTTCCATGGCGTCCTGACGGAAGGGAGGTGGGGGATGGGAGACATGTAAGTCGACTCAAGTGATCTCTGAATTGCACGGCCTGCTCGTCCTCGCACGCTTCCATGGCGTCCTGGTGGAAGCGAGGTGGGGGATGGGGAGACTTTTGAGTCCACTAAGAAGAGACTTCGACTGCTGCGGATTGCTCCTACGCGTACGGGTCAAGAGTCCTGCTGCGGAGCAGACGATTGTTAGTGGAATGGGCGGCTGATGGGTAATTGCAGTCTCTTTACATTTTTTTTAGCTGAAAAGAGCTCATAAGTCAACTCGGATGGGGTGGAGGGATATGTCGCTGGGGGATGGGGAGCAGGTTAGGATGGCAGCACGTCCGTGTCAGAGTAAAGACGAGAATAGCAGGAAGCGGGGGACCACCCACAGGCGATGAGAGCGGAGAAGGCAGAACCTGTACTGGTACAGAACTCGTCAACCGCTCACAACCACTCACCGATTTCAGCCACGTGTTCGTCTCCGGAGAGAAGAAGAGCTCAAAGCTGTCCGCAGCATGGCTGTGAATCCCGCCCGCAGCCCCGCCGTGGCTGCACGCTGGGACGGACACCTGAATGGGGCATTGATGACGACGCAGATAACGCAAAGGTTCAGGCATCCGCGATTAAGAGAGGGAAGGAAAGTCCGAAAAGGGCGAAGACGCAGAATTCTCGCAAGCGGTTCTCTAATCCGCGCAAAAGGCGAGAAATTTGTGTCTTCACCAGGTGTCAATTCATGACAACTGAGTCAACGCGACGTGAATAGCTAGGAAACCGCAAGCCACTCACCGTTTCCCTGGTGGGTTCGAGGTGGTCCCGCCAGTGGTCGATCGGCCAGGAGACGCTGCGCACCCACAGTGAATCCTCGTGCTCCCTTCTTCTGCGCGTGCTGCTCCGACCGGTGCTGTTTTTCGCGACGGCGAAGAGGTCCGCGAAGCGGATGTGCGGCATGTGCTCGTCGTTGGGCCACACGGCGATTGTGGTAACATCCGTGAGATGCGTTACCGCGAAAGCGGCACAAACGGCGTGCAGACGCGAACCCAGATCGCCCTGATGAAAAGGGGGGACGTGACATTGAATGACGGACAGAGGCACGTTAGTTATATGCTAAGAACTGAAAGCGTAACCGGAATTTCCATTCGCTGCCTCTCTTTTCCACACTCCCCTTCTCGTCCCCATACAATCCCGTTTCCGTATAATCTAATACCTGACATCCTTCTGTCAGCTCGCTTCGTCGCGGTCAAACTTACCTCAGCGATCATCAGCGCGTCTGCTCTGTCGCAGATTCCCGCCTTTCCGATCAACTCGCAGTCGTCAAGCGACGTCTTCCGGAGGCCCCACAGCCCGTGATCTTCGTGGAAATGATCGTCAGTTAGCTCGTCAAATGTTACAGTTAGTAGGTTAGTGGACGAGAAGGAATCCATCTTGTTCTTGCCTGAACCGGCTGAAACCGCCGTGACGAACACCAGTAGGAAAAACGTTTTCGTCGATGGCCTCCTCCATGCTGTCATTTGAAACATTGTAGGTCGATTTGAGAGGTTCAGTCTCACAACAAGCGGAGATATAGAACGAGCTTCCGCTCAGAAATAAATACAATTTGGCTGCTTAATTTTCACTGCAGAATAGTCAACCTGCACTAGGTCATGCCAGCTTGATGCGGTCCGCCAGGAAAAACTCTGAAAGAACCCTTGATAACAAGTGTGGCATATCGCCGAGATAATTCACTTGAGCCTAACAAGGGGATGCGCGGATGCAGCGAAAGGAACCAAGGAAAGGCGGATGAACGAAGGAAAGGCGGAATTCCACAAGCAATAGATGTCGCAAGGAGGATGTCGCAAACGAGGGTGGTGTTGAGTTCCCAATGTGGATTCAAATCAGAAAGCGCGCGAAATCTTGGGATGTCTGCTTTTCACGCAGCTGTGTTGAACCAGCATTGTCCAATCACAGATGTGCGCCCCCATTCAAAGCAGCCAGAGTGGAGGGCAACCAGTTGTTGTTCGCGCTAGCTGCAGGTGTCAGAGCTCTTGACTGGCATTGCGTGTACAGTTTGTGTAACTGTAAGCTTGAACAAGCAGCACGTCATAAAAAGGCCAGTGAGATGCTAAAATAAATGAGTTTCCTCATTTGAGAGGCCCTCAGACAGGGCCTCAGATATCAGGAAAAAAACCCTGAAATTCCTGATTTTGGCAGTCCATTCTCAACCTACCCTGAAAAACCAGTGTTAAGATTTTTGTGGGACTGATATTTCAGCCTTTTTTGTGAGGCCACGCTGAAATTTCAGTTTTTTTTTTCCAAGTACACTGATGCCACAACGTTGAAACGAAACTAACACTGAAAGCGATTCTTACCTGTGTCGTGTGGATTTGACCGCAATTACAGGGAATCTCAGATTCCCGTGGTGAAGGCACCGCGGGGCGAGACGAACCTGTGAAATTTTGCCTCGAATTCACGATTGAGCGGTGCTTTGTTGGCGCGGCGCCACACATCATTGGGCCGTTTTGCTGCAGCATCTTTTCTTGGCCAATCCGAACGTGGCCAGTGGCCACCATGTGGTGCCGGAGGGCTGCCAACGTTCCTGCCCCGTTGACAACCCAGCCCATGCACCGTGGTTGCCATCCAAGGGCCCCTTCTTCTCCAAGCTTTGCATCCGAAGCTGGGTTTCCCCCTTTCTTCCTAGTGTACCACCAAGAGGCAGCCAGCCGTGGCCTGTGCTTTTTCTGGAAACAATCCCTCTCATTGTTGCTAGCTTAGATGTCAGGCTGTACCCGCTGCTTACCATGGTGGAACACCTTAACGGCACGGAAACAAACGGCGAACACGGCGGTCAGGCGCATCGCCAGCCGCCTGTAGTCCGTTCTGAAGCAGTTACGGGCCTCGATTTATTGTTTTCGAGCATAGCGGAAGTCAACGACAACGAGAAGCCACCAGATCCCGAGCCGCCCGACAAAATCCCGTTCAAACACATCGATGAGGAGGGTTGGTGTGCATCCCCGACAGCGCCAGTCACGTAGCAGGACAGCTCGCCGCCTCCAGCTGAAAAACTGGCTCCCGAACCCGTGACCAAGAAATCCAGCCGATACATGCAGTCAAGGCTGCCATGGTTTACAAAGGGCGCTGACGACGGAGCTACCCCGCCGTCGCCAGCCGACCAACGGTCGTCGCCCGTGATTGCCGGCCCATAGGAGTCGGCATCGGTTCCTGGTCCTTCTAAGCAGTCAGGACGCGACGAGATTTACGCTGAGTGTCTGTATAAGTACAAGACCGAGTGGCTAGACAGGTTTTCGTGGCTCATTCTTTTGCGGCAATCTGACGGTCTCCCAGCTTTCAAGTGCTCTATCTGTACCGAGCATGCAGGTTACGCTGGAAAGTGCGGGAAGGGCGGGAGGGGCGCGTCGGACGTACAGACGCAGGCTTTCAAGAGGCATGCTGCAACAACGAAGCACAAAGAGGCGGTCAAGCACCAGGAAAAGCTTCTTGCTGAAGCTGGCCGGCAGCCACGGATCAACGGTGACAACCTCGCTCGCGACACCGAGCAGGAACGCGTCATCGCGCTGTGCGACTCTCTGCTCTTCGTAACCAAGCAAGATGCACCCATTGAGTTATGGGTGAATCTTGTTCGCTATCTCGCGGCGAAGAAGGTTCCGGGATTCCCCGCGAAGGGATACGGAACCTATTACACAACGTGAGTACCCGCTGTCAGATATTGTTCGTGATGTTGCTTTTGTTTACCTTTTGTGTAAGCACTAACATTGGCTCACATGCTCCACAGTTACGGCTTTGGGCAACTAACACAAGCGATTGCCACGTGGTTGCACACAACGCAACTCCAGCACCTCCTTACAAGTCCTTACATCGGAATTACATGTGACGAGAGCACGGACCGGTGCCGGGGAAAGCACATGATCATATTCGCGACCTTCATCCGGGAGAATCGCGTCGTCACCAAGTTCCTTGCCCTTCTGACCGTGGAGAAGTGCGACGCTGCCTCTCTACTCTACGTGTTTGTGTCCCACCTGCAGACCCTCGGCATCGAGCTTGCCAAGATCTCTGGTATGAGCACCGATGGCGCGAGTGTGATGATGGGAAGCAAGAATGGTCTTGTCGCTCGACTGCGCCTCCGCATACCGCATCTCGTCTCAAGCCACTGCATAGCCCACAGGTACGTTCGCTTTTGTTCTAGCGGAATCCTGATTATCCGTATCTCGGCCTTGCTGATACCCCGTGTTGCATGTTTGTGTTGTGATGTGCCTGCAGGGAGGCCCTCGCGGCAAAAGATGCAGCGGATGCAATCCCCGAGTTCGACATGGTGGACGGGTTGATCCGTCAAGTCGCTGAGTATCTCGGCCGTTCCAGCCCCTGGCACCAACGATTTTTGGAGTTGCAAGAACTCTTCACGGCTACGAATCTGGAGCTTCAAGGCATTCATCAAGTCCGCTGGCTCTCCAGGGGTGATGCCGTTCTGCGAACGGTGGCGGTCTTCCCTGCGCTCATCGTCATGCTGTCTGAGTGGGACGAAACTCTGTACCAGCTCGCCACCAGCTACAGGTTCCATTTCTTGTTGTTCTTCCTTGCAGACGTGCTCGAGCAGCTGAACATCTTGAACAAGTCCTTCCAACAGCGAGAGGTGAGCAACAAGTCCTTTCAGCGTGTGCTGCACTTCTCATGATGTCTAGTTCTTGTATGCGTGACTTCTTTGCGTGTATGTCAATGCCTTTATATTGTGGGAGCTTAAGCACAACACATATTGTTTGATAAATCACCCCCGCGGCTCACTTTCCTTGTGTCCCTCTGTGTTATTTCTGTCGCCCTCTCATAGCTTGACATCGCAGGTGTCCATGCGCAGATCAGGAGAACCATGTCTCACCTGGAGACCCGCTACGTCGACTGCGGCGACGATTTTGGAGGCCGGTTGAGTGCGCGCATGTCCCCGTTCATCTTGAAGTACGGTCCTGACAGTGACAAGCCCGAGGTGACGGTGCAGGGTGTGGACTCTGACGGTCGGCCGACTACACACAAGTTCCAACTGCATGAGAACCCAAGCGAGGACTACCCAGCTCTGGGAACACACGACGCCTGCGTCGATCTCTGCACATCATTTGCCGAGACGCTCGTCCGTAACCTCAGCAAGAGGTATGAAGACTTGGACAACCTGGTGGGAGTGAGGCTCTTCATGCCAGACGAGTACCCGCCTGGGAGAGCGGAGCGCCACAAACAGTGTGTCGAGTGGCTCATGTCACTCGTCTCGCTGTTCAGGGCACAGGAGACTGACGACATCCTTCCAGGTACTCGCATTTTGTGCACCCTTGTTGTCCATGATTCTCTTTGTTCCTATGTTTCAATAGTGCCATGCCATGCATACACGGGTATACCATGCCAAGCCATCCAATCTAACTGACAATCTCCCTTCTGTTTTGTGTGGCAGGGATCGACAAACTGCGGGCGATGAAAGAACTGCGTGCCTTCTGCCCCATCCTCGCAGGTGCCCCGAATAACGAGCGAAGCTTCCACGCCGGGCTAACAGCGATGCTGAAGACAAGCGATTGGACGACTAGCTACCCCAACCTCGTGCGTCTCTGGGTGGCTGTCGCAGTGCTGCCGCTGAGCACAGTGGAATGTGAGCGCGGGTTTTCCCGCCAGAATATCATCAAATCGTGGCAGCGTGGGAGCCTCAAAGACGCTCGGCTTGAAGATCTCGTCACGATGTCGCTCCTCGACTACGAGCCTGACTACAACGAACTGGTGAAAATCTGGCGCAGCTACAAGAAGCGCCGGCCATTTGGCAATGTGGCAGCACCTCCAGCAAGAGAGGGGGAGGGAAGTGGCAGGGGAAAGGAGGCACTCGAGGAGTGGGAAGAACCAAAGGCGCAAGGGAGTGATGATGAGTGATTCCGATGCTGATACATGGATGACTCCTATTAGATAATAAGAGCAGCTGCTCTTTTCTAGGAAGCTACTGTAGTAACTGTACTCCTGAATTTTAAATCAAGACTTTTATAATAGTTTCAGCCTTTTTACTAGTGGAACCCTGATGGATCAGTCTTTTTTTTAGC